AATATTTATTTAGTTAAAATACCAAATACACTTAATATATTTCATTGTATGTTAACATTGTACGTTGTATTAATAACAATAGAAGTTTATTTGTTTTTTTTTCTCATTATTAAGTATGTTTAGACGTCTATTATGAATCCTTAAAAATTATTGGTGATATATTTAAGGATTTAATTATTATACAATTATTGTAAACTGTATATATAAAAGTAAGTACTTATTTATATATGTTATATTATATTATAATATATATATAATATATATTATATTATATTATATTACAAGTTCTTATATATAAATAAAAATCATTTTTTTTTAACTAATATTTTTATAAATTAAAAAAATATATGAGAAATTTTCAATTCAAACAAAAAAAATATAATTTCAATTTTCTAGCATAATAATACAATTAAAATTATAAAAAAATTATTATTAATAAAAATATATGAAATCTTAGCTTGATGAACACAGATCTCTGGATCTGACATCAAAGAAACGTATGTGGAAAATTTAGCAGAACATAACATATGCAACACATGCAGTAATATTAATGAATTAAAAAAAAGCGATTTTGTGTGAGAATTTTAGAATCAAAATTATATATTATATTTATATAAATTATATATCAACAACAGTATATTATATTATATATTATTATATATCAACATATCAGTATATTATATATCAATATAGTTAGAAAAGTTTATTAAATTGAAATATTTTTTCAAAAATAAAGATCAACAATTATTATTAAAAAAGATATGATTATTTTTAAGTTTAATCATATAAATTTCTTTTGATTCCTATTATTTATATTTTTATATATTTAAACTTATAAAGATGTTATTTGAAAGTAAAAGATATTTATATTTATATATGATATGTTTAAATAACTGTAATATAAGTATCTATACGAATAATTTTTAAAGTGCCATATATTATGTTCATCAATATAAGCATACGAAAACATGAGTAGGGTCAACTTCTAATACTGCTAGGTATTACAACAATCTTCTTCTTCTTAACTGAATCTCGTATAATTGTTTGGATTATTATGACCTGTACTAGGATTAGCAAAATGACAATAATATATCAATATTCAGGAAACTCCATATTTTTATTGCTGCACACGTCATGTTTTTTACGACTCTGAAATATGGAATTTAATCAAAACGAAATATTAATATGCTTTTAAAATATTATTTACAACACATTTTATATTTAAACTATAATCTTATTTTTAATTAATAATTTACAATTATATTTCATAATTATTACGTTCAATTTCGATAATTATATTCACATTTCCTCAGATCTTAAAAAAAAATTAATTATTACACCAATAAATACTTTAAATGCAAAACTAAAGAAACAAAGTATAATCCAAGATTGATCTATCTCTCGAAAGATTCTTCGCTTCAACATCGACACATTATTAATATTTAATTTTCCAAAAATCGAATAATCAATCCCAGTAATAACGAAACGTTCAAATTTCTCGCAAATTTCTCTGATACACTCGAACGGTTCGAAAAACAAAGGACAAACACCGAGGCCAACACCCTACACGCACACACATTCTTCTCTCGAAGAATTGTCTCGAAGCACATCATCCATCCGTGAAGAATCTTCACCGAAACAACCTGTCGTATCCAAGGGACAATTGAACGAAACGAAGAGCAAAGAGAAGGGGCAAATCCTAAGGATAGAGATGGAGCCTCGATTACAAATCCTTTTCATACTGCCCCCACGCAAAGGATGATGTTGGTCAGTTGAACGAAGGGAATGCGAGCTGGGTGCATAAGAATAGGATGGGAGATTGTCGTGAAGCAGGTGTACACCTCCCTCGAAGGCAATAATATTTAGGGCGCCAAATTTCTGCGCTCTAGGCCAGAGTACTAGGTAGCAAAACTACTGCCCTCCCCCCTTCCTT